TATATTTTTATGGCCATTTTTTAATATATAGTAGAACTATATATCTGTATATGTATATGATGAATTTGATTACTACATGTTAATCATTGATATTTTATGATATATGTATAATACATATCAATATCCTTCGGTATTTTGAAGAAAAAAAACTTAAGCTAGCATTATGTTTTTAGAATTGGTTTAATACGTGAGTAACGTTCAAACACACCTGAAGTGTACTTGACTTTCCCAATAAAATATAAATAAAATATTGATGCGGAATGACTAGATCACGTTAATATAACCGTGAGGGGAGAAAACAAACAACATTTCATAATCGAAATTGTAATATGAAATTATATATCCATGTGCCAGAAGTCGCTATTAGAGCATAGATTTGACATAAAATTTGAGGATTGTACATATCTTAATTTATTGAAATAAATATTTTTATTAATTTTCGGACAATAAAAATATAACAATGATAATAATATACGCCAAGATAAATTTTAGAAATTCCCTTAAGTGAATAGTTTGAGACAACCCTTAAAGTGCTCTTACACATATATGATTATTTGATAACTTTTAAGTTACTTCAAGAGGGACATTATCTGATCCTTAGACTCTACATTTCTAGGTGATTGATTCATATTATTTCTATGAAAGTAAGAAATCACTGTATAAATGAAATCACTATATAAATGATTATTTTAGAGATAGATTATTTTTGTCTTAGGGATCAATCATATAATGTCTGAAGCATGTATATACTTGTATCATAGAGCCCGATAAGATATACATTAACTTTTGATAGAGTCACACACATCATAAATATAATCCTATTTGTAAGGATAAAAAGTATTGGAAACACAAATTATATTTATAAACAAGTTGTGCACATAAATAATAATGATAACATCTCAGGCATTGAGTATAAGAAGCTACTCAAGCACTGCGATGCAATAACTTGAAAATGATATCATACTTTTTAAGTGATAGTTTGAGACCATACAAAAGCAGTGTAAATTGTGCTCTCATATTATCTGCTAGTAGCAGAATTTGCTTCGTATTCTGATTATATTTTTATGTAACTCAAACGCATGTTGCATGAAGTTTAAGATTTTTTGAATAAATGACCAATTTAAGGTAACCCACAAAATATATCTAGCATTATAAGATGAATGTTTCGCCTGAGATAAATTGCTATAAACTTGCTTGAATATATGAAGAAAGTCTACTTTATATTTATTCAGTATTTATTAACAACTAACCCCCAAAACTTACACGTTAAAATGAGTCAAAGTGTGCCAACATTGAAACCCCACTACAGAAATGATGTACTCGGACCCCGGAAGTGGCTCCATATGTACGCCAATCCTTGTTCAAAAATATTATGACACATTTCCCGATATTAGGGGGAGATATAAAGGCATAAGCATAATTATATTTTGGAATGTCGGGAAAATATCCCAGAAGGATCTATTGATATTAAAAGAGAAACGTGTAAAATATGATAAATAAACTGTTAAAGTGACTGAAAGAAATGATTATAAAGATTGAGCTCAACCAATGCATGAAGCATGGTTAGACGGTCATTACGTGCATACAAATAAAATTGGTTTTATTTTAGGAAGTCACTTATGCCTCTAGAAGAGGATGATATAAGTTTAATGTTGCAGCTGATAAGTTATAGAAACTTTATGATACAAAACATGAGTTCCTCTTTTATGACTCATATAGAGGACTTGATGAAACACGAATGATATTGATTAGATTGACGTCAATGATTTATTTTCCCATAACTATCGACTCATAATCCATAATAATAAAGTCTGGCCAGACGAAATATGATGGACCTGTAGTCCTAAAATTTTGTGAATTATGATCGATGTTTATGGATTAGAAAATAATTTATATTGGGTCTGAAGTCCCATAAATCAAGATATTTTGTATGTGGCCGGGGTGACAATACCTGAGATTGAATGATTTTGAGACTGCACTCTTGTTATTGTTTAAAGTTCTGTAAAGTGGCAATTGATTAGAAAATTGGATGTCATTGTTATAATATAATATCAATTGTGTCCCTGAAGGACAACAGTGAAAAGAAATATGTGAACACAACATGCAACATGAATATAAATTGTTTTATGTTTATAATAATAATTCGATAAGGTGATTGTGTGTTAAGTTATGGTAATTATATTTGGAATTATTCTTGAAAAAGAATTTGAATTTGATTGAATAACTGCAACGATAAATAATGCAATAAATACTAAGCATAGCTGAAAAACGTATAAAATGGACGCTTGTGCCTAACTAAAACCTGGGTGACTACAATAACTCTTGATGAAATGATTTATTTTGTAGAAGAACTATGCTTGAGTATCATGGTGCAAATTATATTAAGTAATTGAACAAGGTTTTTGCATCATGTCAAAATATCATTTGTACTGAGTGCCTCCTGAAGAGGATCTAATGTGAACAATTTTCTTATTTGTTTTCACATGATTTAATGACTAGAATTTTAAATATAAAGTGAGCTATATTCGTACTACTTCTCAACCTTTCCTGTAGAAAGAGTTGAATGAAGAAAACATTATGCAATGAATTTGCAATTGCTCATAAACCTTCTATTTGTTTACCTGAAGTAAACATATATTATTTTATGAACCAAACTGTATAAATAAAGGTGTTGGAAGCTTTTAATTAAGCATCTATCAAAACCTTGTTAGAAACAACACATGAAAATCTTTTGATTTGAATGGTGTTTGATTATATAATAAATAAAATATCTAATCATTATATTGTGAACACCTGAAGTGTTTGTATACTAATTTGAGATCCTAGGAGGATCAAAACATGTCTCATTTAAGTTTTATGGACAAATATTTGAGAATACTCAATTATTAAATGTTTGATGTGCATATGAGCATTAACACCAAATGTGATGGTCTTGAAATACACATTGCAAAATCATGAGTTTAGACAATTGATTCTGCTTAGAAACTCTTGAACAATTTGGTTACTAATGTCCATCAAATCTGTATAAATAATTGAGGTTTTGTATACTAAAGATTTTCATTAGCTCAAATTATATGGAGTTGATTGAGGTGAAACAATTAATTGGACCAAAAGACCAAATGCTATTCTTTTTTCTTAGTCAAGTTTTTTCCCAAAGGGGTTTTCTTGGCCAAAGGTTTTAAGATATTTTGTGGTTTTTAAAGAATGAAAAAGATTCATAACATCCGGAAGACTATTATCCTCTAGAAGAGTGATTCGAATATTAGTTCAGGAGATAGTACCCTGAAGGTCTTAATTGGTACTTTTGAGATCGAACAATTTATTGGTCCGGAAGACCATATACAACTGTACTCTTTTTCCTTAACCAAGTTTTGTCCCATAGGGTTTTCTTGGTCAAAGGTTTTAACGAGGCAGTTTGTCACTTTGAAATAACATATTATGATACACAAAATTCGGAGTATTATTTTTCTCTAGAAGAGTAAATTCAAATGCAATCCAGAAGATTAGACCCCAAAGGCCAGTGACTGTACTCTTTTCCTTTACTAAGTTTTTCCCACATGGTTTTCTTAGTTAAAGGTTTTTAATGAGACAGTCAATACAACACATCGTTTTACATCGTTTTTAATGAGTTGATTGAGTTCTATAAGAAGACTTGGAGAGAAATCTTGAAGTGATGTAGTCAATAGGGGGAGTATAAACGCGCTGCACTCTTTTTTCCTTGACCAAGGTTTTGTCCCACTGGGTTTACTTCGCCAAGGTTCTTAACGAGGCAGCACCACGAACACATATAAAGAGAATAATGTATATTTTTTGTAATGTATTTTATTTACCAATGTACATCCAATGGTGAGTGTTATGTAACATGTTGATGTCCATTACTTCCTGGTCCATATGTATTGTTAGAGTTAAGCCCATTAACTAGCGTGGCCCTAATTCCCCCTGTATATATGTGTGTGTTATGTGCTAATGAAGAGATGACCTTGAGTCCGTTCATAACAATAAATGATATTTATTTCAATAATTGAAAACATGTACAACCCTCAAGTCATATGCTAAATCTATCCTCTTATAGTGACTTCTGGCACATCGTTATAATATAAATGATATTTATTTCAATAATTGAAAACAAGTACAACCCTCAAGTCATATGCTAAATCTATCCTCTTATAGTGACTTCTGGCACATCGTTGTAATTTCATATTTTCATTTATCAAACTTTGTTTATTTTCTGCCTCTCGAGTGGATTAATTTGATAAAGTAAGAATAAAATAAAAATGATTTAGAACACATAAAAATGGGGTAACTCACAGGAAGAAGGGGGTAACTCAGAAGAAGAAAAATGGCCTGAATTGGCCTGAATCAGCCTAAGACTGTCTGGTACACGAGACTAGGCTTGGAGTCAGGCCGGGCCGCCCGTTTTGTATCCATAGGCCCGAGACCAGCCCGGGTCTTGACCGGTTCCCGGCCGGGCCGGTTACGTGCTGGGCCGGTTACAGACCGGGCCGGTTCCGGGCGAGTTCCGATTCTTTTTTTCTTTATTATTCTTATTTATTTCAACCCCGACCCCTCATCCCCCTCAGAAATACCCAGCCCAGCCCAACTAAACCAAGCCCAAACCAATAAAATCAAAAAAAAAGGCCCGAACCGGGCCCAGTTCCTCTTTTCCCTTACCCGTGCCCGGAACCGGTAGACCCCCCGGGCCTAGGCCCGAACCGGAACCGGACCCGGTTTCCTAGGCCAGGCCGATCCCGCACAGTAGCGGGCCAGGCCGGTTCCCGGGCCGGGTGGCCCGCACCGAGTCCATGTTTACACGAGACCAGACATGACTCGTATCATGCAGGTCGGTGTGGGATTTTAACCCTTTGAACCAGGACTAGGTTCATCTCTAGTTATAACCCATGGTTTATAAGTACCGGTTACAGCTTTTTTAAGAATAGTGGGGTTATTCATGGTCTTGAGCCTCTTACCCATGTGATGTGAGTACGCGTGTTGTGATTTGTGTTGGGAACTTTTTCTATCAGAATACAAATGTCCAGTCTCCAGAGCTGGAATTCTTTCAGGTCTAAAAGCATGGGTGTGGTGTATCAATTTGTGTGCGTGTGTTCTTTGAAAACAAAACATTTTTGTCATTAGTTCATTATCGTAAATGTTTTACCTTGACGTGACTAAACAGCCATTTTATATGGAAATGGAATAAAATCTTTCCACTTCAATGTAAAACTAAACCCATGATGCAAAATATAATATCAAACTGCTAATGCTGCCTTTTCTACTTCCAGTTTCTGCGCAGAGGTATCATCAAGATAAGTGGAACTCCTAGACACCGATGGTGCACCTTCCTCATAAGCCGCTTCATGAATGCCAAGTGCAGCTCTGCCAGACGGGTCCGGATTCATTGCCCACGTCGCGTCCCATTCTACAGCTTTTGCTGTGCTACATGCCACGCTTGGTCCTCCCGGCACCGTTGACCTTGCAGCATTCTGGTCAATTAAATGAAAATAAAATGTAGTAGCAATCATGTTTACAATACCATATCCAGCATTGACCTAGTGGGATGAAAGGGTTAGGGTCAACAACCCACATGACCACGTCAAAATGTATTGTTATGATAAAAATAATTATATAATTATACCATTACTGTAGAAAGTATTTCCATCATTTGCAATGGAACCAAAGATTCATTATTTTTTGGCTTGAGATTATGATGGAATAAAACAAAATGGCTCACTGAACTGTTTGCGCTTCTATGTTATGGAGCAGCAATCAGTCCATGCAATTTTGGACGCGATTTTCGCTATGGGTCATCTGGAAACAGTCTCTCTGTGCTTTTAGTACAGGGTAAGAATGCGTACATCCGACCCCCCTTACTCCACCGTAGGTGGGAGCCTTTGCGGCACTGGGGTAAATGAAAATGTAATGATGAAATGATGACCATTACTGTAGAAAGTATGCATGTGTGTGTACATATATACATACAGAAGCAATCATATAGTGAGAATCGGGAAAGTGTGTAAAAACCAGACCTTTGGAAAGAACCTTTCAAAAATGGTCCTATAATAGTATCCTTCTTTTGTTGTTGGGGTGTTTTCTGGGTAAACAAAGCTTGCATTTGATAACATTGCATCAGAAACCTGTAAAAATGATGTGGAGGTAACATGCAACGTTTACCACTACCAAATACATAGAAGAGATGACATTCGCAAAAGAAGGCAGACGAATTCCCACCAGTGAGTTTGCATGCTCCTTCAAGCCATCAATCCAATTGTACCCCACTCCATCGCTGAATTGCTCCTTTTGCCTGTACAGGATGTGCTGAAAGCACAAAAGGGTACTTATCAACATATCAATAACTACCAACTGTTTTAAGTGTGAATGAATTTGATATTATGATTTTGGATTAGATCCAAAAAGCAATTCAAAAAACGATTTTAGGCCTTGAGGCTCTCAGGCAGTTTAATACATAAGCCTCAAACAGTCAAACTTTATGCAGAACTTCCTCAACAATTTAAAATCACTAAGAATCTAAACCAAATAAACAGTCATACATAAAAACGAAGGATCATAGACCACTATCATAAGGTTTAACTCTCTAAACTCTAAAGAGAAGTATTTATGACTCCTGAACAAAATCAGAAAATGTTGTTGATATGAGATACACAGAGAACAAATGGTTGGACCTGCAAATTCTTATATTCAGAAGCAACTAAAATTAAAAGAAAAGTTATAGAACTTCTGTTACTGGTGCTGATATTTTCTAAGATAAATTGAAAAAATAATAACTGGAGTTGCTGGAATAAGTTAAATCTTGCTGGAAAGAAGAAAAGAGAAAAGGCACGATTGTAGCTTGCAAAATTTGTTCGTACTTCCGCGTGAGTGCAGCGTAGTTGTAGCCTTGTAGGTTATATGAACTTTATAAGTAGAGAGAGCCCTGTGATGATGAGTGGTGATTTTGGGATTTTTGGCAGATAGATTTTAGGGCTTTCGATGGGCTAATGAGTAAATATTAGATAATAATACGTCTCATTTAATTAAAAAACTACTTAGCCTAAAGAAAAATTAAAGTTGAAAGGTAAAAATATGAAGCTTAAGCCTCATGAAATGCCCGAGGCATAAGCTTAATAAAACGCCTCAACCATCTCAAGCTTAAGCCGGAGTTCATTCGTTTGAGACTTGTGACTCATGGATTTTGTTGGCGCCTCAGTGCCTCACATTGACAGACGAGCCCCAGAAAACCTTCTTAAACCATGTCTAAGAGGTCATGTTGATTCGTGTTTTACATTCGTTCGATGTAAGATGGCTTAACATGTCACGTACCGTTGATGCTTATTGGAATAGAATCAATTTCAATTTAGTATGCTCGAATTTCATTGTAAGATGGCTAAACATGTCATATAAGGTCGTTGCTTGTTGAAATAGATCAATCTTGAACTTCATACATTCACTCTTGAAGCTTACCAAATCAGGTTGCTCATGTGAGCTTAATATCCATTTAATCCATGTCATACAAAGACTTGAGTTTCATCCCGAAACAGCAACATAAATAGTGATGGATCAGGTTGATTGGAGGCACACCGGCGCATTATTAGGTTTTTAATGTAATCCATACATTGATCAAACTCAGATTATGTGGTAAAACCAAAATTATACGGAGTATATAAATAGTGAGTTACGATACAATTTGCTACATTTCCCATTCTGAATTAATCTTTACTGTTTCACTTGTGTAACAAACTTAGGTGTAATTAAATTGAAGTGTGATAGTAATTTGGATATAGAATATTAACATTAGGTCCCAAGAAATTCAAGAGGGAGATAACATCTTTTATAAACATATCATTTGATCAATTTATCAACACAAATACGTAGAAAGTCTTACTCAATCTGATTACCCTTAATCTTTTCAAATTAACTTAAGCTTTTTTGAATCAGTTTCATAAGCGGTACATATTATACATGTTATATCCTTCTTAACTTTAGATCATTTTAGTACCACTCTACTGAATTTAATTCACATAAATTAAACACACTAATATTTTATTTCAAATAAATTTATTTCCAATACATGTTATAATTTACTTTTCCAATATAAACCGTATGGCAATCCCCTAGGTTTCAGTAGTTAGTTGGCGCCCGACTAGTGCCTTGCGCCTTTTAGAACATTGGTTACAACTAAAAGTTTGAGGAGAAAGACAACCAACCTTTGGCAAGTAAGGTTCCTGTTTGTCATCAAAAGCATTGCGTAGGACCCACTTCTCAACTCTTCCAAGATCAGGCTTCACCTGTGTAGGTTTCAGTACAATTAGAAGTAGGTAAACACATCAACAGCATCAGCTTAGTCCCAAAATCATATAAGCATATACAGGGGGGAAAACTTCCTTTCACAAACTGATTAACACATACAAGTACAACCAATCAATCAGTATATTACGTGAAGATAGTGGGTAGCTAAAACAGCTATTCATTAACATACAAAGACCTGTGTGAACATACAAATATAATTTGTAAGACAATATATGTGTTTGTATTTTTAAGAAATTGCAGAAAATGGGAGTAAAACATAAGTTAAGCGCAAAAATATGAGTTTATATTTTCATTTTCCTAAATAGAAGTAATATATTGTGTGTGGACAAAAATACCCTAGTGTTTAGCGTTAAGGATTAGGGTTAGGTGCTGGATGCTGGCGGCAGTCCGGCGACCAACGGTGCAAGCAATCGGCTGGTGCTGTCTGGTGTCAGTGGTTAACTTTAGGTTTACTTTAGTATAAGAGCCTTTTCATACCCTTTTTTGTGGCACTTCCACGAATTTAGCAAGGGAAGAACGCAGAGAATTTGTATCAGCGAGGTGGTCGGAAGAAAAACGTAAAAACGAAGAGAGAAATAGAAAAGAGAGAAGAATAAAGTTAAGGAATTTTATCAAGGAAAATTTTAAGGTGTATAACGCCATCTAAGAGATCATCTGTTCTTTTTGTGCTCATCTATTACAGCTCATTTATCTCCTCAAAATTGCATAATAAATCCTTTATAAAGTTTAGTGTTTATTTATGTAAAATCGTAAAGAGGACATCACTTCCACAACTCCTACCAAACAAAGCCATCTTTCTTCTGATTCTGCGTTTGGGAAAGCAATGCTCTACAATTCTTCATCATCATCACCCAGTGTCGCAAAGGCTCTCACCTGCGGTGGAGTAAGGGGGGTTGGATGTACGCAGTCTTACCCCTGTACTAAAGCAATGAGAGACTGATTCCGAATGACCCATAGTGAAAATTGCGCCAAAAATTGCATAGACCGATTGTTACTTCATAACAAAGAAGCGCATGCAGATTAGTGAGTCATTTTGCTTTATTCCATCATATTCACAAGCCAAAAAATAGTGAGACAAAAAATGTTCTACAATTACACTAACAAATTCCCCATCTAATTGAATTATGTATTAACTTCTTGATTTTTTTCACTCTATACATGAGGTTGATTTTGCTCCCCATATGTGAGTTTTCATTCATTTGCAATTGATTTTGCTGATTCTGGATTTTAATTAATTGGTTGATAGAAGGTTGAGATCAAGGAATAGAGATTTGCCGAACTTGGAATTTGAGCAAGTCATGGCGCTCCACGCCGTCTTCTGTGCTGCTAAGTTCTATTGTTAAACTAAGGAGAAATTCTTATATTTAATGCAAATACTCTGTTAATAAAATTAACAGAAAAACAACCAAAATACCCTGATACGAAGACATTATCCACAATGGATGTAAATACCAGTACCAATAAAATGGACAAAAAACAGCTAAAATTTGCGAGAATTAAAGAGCTATGAAATGCAAAAGAATCTGCAGAATTGACATGCTAAAAATGAAAAGAAAGGCCCAAATATGAAAAAAACACTTCAAGTTTACAGATAAAATTAATCAGTGATTCTAATTAATTATAGTTAATCAGCCAAGGACTAAAATTCAGCAGCTTAAATGTTCCTAAAATCAAACAGAAACTGAAGCTCAGGGGGTCTTCGTGTTGTTCATGTACATTGCTTGATGAGCTAAAATTAAGCGAAACCCTTAAGAAACTCTCATTATTTTCTGAGAGAATATTAAGCAGCTTGATAACTTGGAGAACCTAATAATTATAGTGTGTGAAACGATAAACTTGCAAGGAAAAGATAATAAGTGAGATTGTGCAGCATCTTCGCGAGATGGATTGAGTTATTGGTGACTTTGTTGATGCTGGGGACAAATGAATTCGGGCAGAAAGATATGAGAGTAGGAACTACAGGGGAACGTAACAAATTAAAAAGGATTGTCCTTTAATTGCATCTTTATAGATATGTAAGTGTACAAGGATTATTTTGCAGTTATAAAGTAATTTTATTAGGATGACTTCATTGGAATATCTATCCAATCGGATTCTTCCATATGGACAATGCACCAAAACCATGGAGTCGTGGACAATATAAAGGGCACCGAAAAGCTTCCCTTTTATCCAGCACTTGAAAGATGAAATAAACATGGTTTGATTAGTTTGACTTCATTGAAAGTGCTAATAAGATTTTAGGTCTTTGATTGATAGTTTTAAAATCAAAACCTATAATAATAATGAAAATAATAATTATAATACTATTATTATTAATATTATTATTATTATTAATAGTAACAATACTAATAATAGTAACAATACTAATAATAGTAACAATACTAATAATAGTAACAATAGTAACAATGGTAACAATAATTACAATAATAACAATAACAATAATAACAATGATGACGATGAAGATGATATTTATTATTATTATTATTAATATTATTATTATTATAATAAGAAAAAGAAATAAATCATGTTTGAACTTTTCTGATTTGATCTGATCTAAATGATACTGATCTGATCTGAATGTTTCTGATCTGATCTGGTCTGATCTGAATCTTTCTGATATGAATGGTTCTGATTTAGTCTGATCTAATTTGAATCTTTCTGATCTGATCTGATCTGAATTTTTCTGATCTGATATGATCTGAATAAAATAAGAATAAGCAATAAGTAATGAGAATAAGATGAACAGAACAGCTTCTAAATCTCATAAACCATGCACGTGGAGATTGTTTTAAACCATATAACGAACGTCGTAATCTGCACACTGAACCTGACTCCTCCTAGGCAATAAAGCCAGGTGGTTGCTCCATATAAACCTCCTCATGCAGATCACCATGAAGAAATGCATTTTTAATATCCAACAGGAACAGAGGTCAGTGACTCAATACTGTCATAGATAAAACCAAACGAACAGATGCAATCTTTACTAAAGAAGAAAAGGTGTCAGTATAATCTAGCCCATAGATCTGAGTGTACCTTTTTGCCACAAGGCGTGCTTTAAAGCGATCAATTTTACCATCAGGGCTAACTTTAACAATATATATCCACCGACATCCAAGAACAAATTTTCCATTGGGAAGGGTAACTAAGTCCCACATCCCACTAGAATAAAGAGCCTCCATCTCAACCAACATGGCTTTAAGCCACTCAGGGTGTGCCAATGCCTCATGTGTGGTTTTGGGAATGTAGGTATGAGACAGATGTGAAATGAAAGCAAAGTAAGGGGTAGAGAGGCGTTGATAACTAAAAAAGTTATATATAGGATGTGGGTTCAATGTGGAATGCGTACCTTTTTGGAGGGCAATGGGCAAATCATCTTGAGTAATTTTAAGTGCTGGAATAGGTGGTGGTGGCGATGCAGGATCCGTCATAGGGGAATCAACGGGCATGGCCACAATGGGCTCAATGAGAGGAGGTCGAGGACGTCAATGGTATACCTGTAATGGACGGTCTCGCATAGGAAGGCAGTTTGGGTGCTTATCAGATGGGAGAGAAATAGGAGTATCTTGATGGGGGATGGGTCGGAGATATGATATGAAGTTTGAATATGATTGTGTATCAACCGTAGATAATGGGTAATAGTAGGAAGACTCAATGAAAGTGATATTAGCTGAAACAAAATGTTTCCTGGGTAAAAGAGCATAACAACAATAACCCTCTTGGAGTCGTGAATATCCAAGAAAGATACATTTTATTGACCTAGCCGACATTTTAGGAAGTCCAGATGTCGTATCATGGACAAACACAGACACCCAAACACATGAGGTGGTAATGGAAATAATTCACAACTAAGAAACAAGGAAGAATATGGAATTTCATTAAAGTACAAAGGAAAGTATTCTATTTATTAAATGGCACGCACTGAGCACAGCATTGTCCCAATATTGAGAGGGTTTATGTGAGTGTAATAATAGGGTGCGGGTATAATAATAGGGTGCGAGCGGTATCAACTAAATGTCGATTCTTGCGTCAGCAACCTACCTCTTTTTATTGAGGCGTGTGAACACAAGAAGATTGATGAAGCATACCTCGTGATGTCATGAAGTGCTTAAAGGGTGTCGCAACAAAAAATATCTTTAGCATTGTCACTGCGTAAAATTTGATAGAATGACCAAACTGAGTTTGAATTTTGGCACAAAAAAATTTAAAAATATGAAATAATTCAAAAAGATCTATCATTAAAAACAACCATGTGTAACAAGAAAAATCGTCCACAAAAATAACAAAATAACGAAATCCTAAAGTAGAAGTGACTCGATAAGGACACCATACATTTGTATGAACTAAATCAAAAGGGGACGCAGCATGTTGATTGACCCACCTTGGAAAGGATTTACGAGGTTGCTTTCCAAGGTGACATGACACACACTCTAAAGATGAAAGACTTGAGAAACTTGGAACCAGACGTCGAAACTTTGAGAGGCTAGGATGACCCAGACGATTATGTAAGGTAATGGCGGGATCAACGGACACACAAGCATTTAGATCACGAGGATGAAGATGATACAAGCCTTGAGATTCATGTCCGACGCCAATCGTCGTCCCCGTACAACGATCCTGCTAAGCAAAAAAATAAGTTATAGAACAATCAAGAGCACGTGTAATTTTGCTAACAGAGACAAGGTTAAAAGGGCTATTATGAACATATAAGAATGAGTCTAATGTTAAGGAGGAAAGTTGAAGTGCTTGCCCAATACCCGTGGCCGAAGTTTGAAGGCCATTAGTGAGAGTAATTAAAGAAAGGTGTCGGTGTTTGGTAATACGAGATAAAAGATGGGGATTACCAGAAATATGATATGAGGCACCAGAGTCAAGAATCCATGAACCTATGGTGTTTGAAACACGTGTCTTTAGTATGACCGATCTTATGACAGAAGTCACATTTAGGACGGTTTCGCCGCGGAAATCCTTTGTGATTTCC